GCGCTTGCACTCCTCGACGCTGCGTTGCATGCCTCCTGGACGCTGGACACACCCCCTGTGTGCCCTTGGCTGCAGCTCCGTGCCACGATGCCCTCGACTTCAGCCGCCGAACTCGCGTGCCGTGACACTCTCCCCCACCAAAGCCCTTGACGCCCTCGTCAAGGCACCTAGCGTCGAGTGCCTCGATCCCTCTCGTAAGCTGCCGCAAGTCTCTGGCGCATCCACGTCTTGCTGCTGCCGTGGTTCGCCCGCGTCCTGTGCCACGTCCCTAGCCTCCTTAGGCTTGGGTTCTCCCTTGTGGCTGGACTCCTCAGGCTTGGCGACATTGCCCCTTGGCCTCTGCCGCTGGTTGGGTGAGATTGGTGCCACGTCCTCTGCCTCCCCAGGCTCGGACTTCTCCATGTGGCTGTCCTCTCCCGTGTGGCTGGACTCCTCACCAGCCCTGGCGATGGCACTGAGCGCGTCCCTCCGTGGACATTCCCTCGTCCAGTGTGGCCCTCCACACAAGAAGTACCCGTGCTTCCTCTTGGGTCGCTCATCGCTGCCATCTCTGGAGGTTTCCATGCCCCCGCATGGACTGGAGGTTCTGCGTGGCTTGTCTCGCCCACTGCTGCTCGCCAAGTGCCCCTAAAACCCTTCCACAGCCCGACTCAAGTTAGCCATGAAAGAATCGCAAGCACCTTGAAGCTTACCGTCGAGTGGCTCGACCGTGCCACCCCGTTCCTCCTCAAAGTTAAGAGTGTCGTGCTGCTCCTGGATGTCCCCCGTTGCCAACCCCCTGTCGGCCAGCCTTCCCTCAAAGGCTGTTTCGACGTCCAGTGACGCTGGTGACACTGCCCTCGATCTCCTCTTCAATCTCGCGTCCCCACGCGTCTCCCATCGAACTCGTTCCTCCTCCAGAACGTTGCTTGCCTCCACGCCTTTGCTTGCCATTGTCACGAATTCCCCTCGCAACTAGGCTTCCACCAGGCTCGCACCACGTTCGGACCACGTCTCGCACCACGCTCGAACCGCGTCTCGCACCACGCTCGAACCACGTCTGCAGCAAGCTTCCAACCGCCCTCTGGTGCAGCTTCGAACTGTGCTCTGGTGCAACTCCGAACCAGGCTCTGATGTAGCTTGAGCTGGCTCTGATACCATCTGTCACGGGGTCAGACTAGCTCCGATGGCCCTTGCCTCGGAGGCGGAATCTAGCTCGACCTCGTGTGGCACTTAGCTCGGAATTAACCCCATTAAACCCGAACCAAGTCAGCCTTCCCAACACTGGCGTGGCCCCTTAACTGGGCTTGAGGTTAGCAACAGAAACAAGAAGGTAGGAAGTTGGGAGAAGAAGAGAATTTATTAAATCGCAAGGGAGTGTACAAGAGCTTGAGTACAAAGCCCCTCTCTGCACTCACTCTCACCTAGCAGCTCACTCACTCTCCAACTCTCCAGCTGATCTCCTCTACTAAGGCCACTCCTATTTATAGAGGAGGTCAAGCCCAAGAGCCCTCTGCAAGTGAGGTTCTAGAACACTCCACACAATTCCCTCATTTGTACAATTACCATAATATCCTCCTTTCTCCCTCCTAAGCCTACATTATTCTAGAATCCCCTATTCTAGAATCCCCTATTCTAGAATTATCTACAAGGCCCAGGAGAAAC